CCTCCCACTCTCCCACCCCCCATCTGCATCCGCTCTGGTTCTCTCCCAGGTTGGCAGGGGTCTCAGGCCCCAAGGTGCTGGGGCCCAGCTGCCCTTCCCCGGTGGGGAAGATGTTGGGGTCACCGGTCCAGAAGCCCACGCTGCACCGGTCCATCGGCACCAAGGTGCTGCTGGCGGAGGGCGAGGACACGCCCTTCGCGGAGCACTGCCGCCACTACGAGGACTCCTACCGGGTGAGCGGGCCTGGGGGACCTGTGGGCGGGAAAGGCCCACCCCTTCCTCACGGAGGCGCAGGGCCCACATCGAGGCCCAGCCACCCTGGAAGCCAGCTCTCCTCTGAGACCCCGAGGAGACAAGCCTGCAGAGCCCCAGGCGCTCATGGGATCTCCCGGCAGCACCTGCAGGCGGAGATGCAGAGCCTGAAGGACCAGGTCCAGGAGTTGCACCGGGACCTCACCAAGCACCACTCGCTCATCAAGGCGGAGATCATGGCAGACATTCTCCGCAAGGCCCTGCAGGTGGACGCGCAGATCGGCTCGGAGTACGCCTCCGTGGAGGGGATGAGAGCAGCCTTCCAGGAGGTACCCCCTTCCAGGACCTAGCTCCCCGGCAGCTCACCCCTCAGCATGCACAGGGGCCACCCCCAGACAGGAAGGGGGAGAAAGAGGGCATTGGCTGGTGCCCCGGGAGGCCTGGTGTGGCAGGCTCTGGAACCTGGGTCTTTGCTGCCTGGAACCACATGGACTGGCTGCGGGTGCCTGCGGCTCTGAGTAGCTAGAGGACAGAAATGCCACCAACCCACCAACGGACATCCCAACTCACACCACACGCATGTCCACCCTACTTTCTCTTTCAGATGTGGGAGGAGTCCTACCAGCGGGTGGCTGATGAGCAGGAGATTTATGAAGGTCCCAGGCAGCCCTGCTGGGCGCACCCCTGTCCTGGAGCTAACCCGTGTGCCAGTGAGGCAGGAAGGCAGTCACCCACTAACCAGATCCAAGCAGCCCCATGCTCTTCCCTTAGCCCTTGACTTTGCCTCACAGCCGCTAACTGGCCCCAACACGACGCATCTGGGGCCAGAACTCAGTGAGTAGAAGGCCCTCTCGAGTCTCACTC